CCGCCAAGAGCAGCGCGCCGCCGCCGCCGCCATCTTGGCGCCGGGCACGGCCTCCCCGCCCCTCCCCGCCGGCGCCATCTCAGTGCGTGCCGGCCCCGACGGGCGCCATCTTAGACGGCGAAGCGCGGCGCTTCTGCCTGGCGCCATCTTGGGTGTGGGCGGCGCCATCTTGGAGGCGGGCATCGCCCCCCAGCCCTCACACCCCGCTCGCGAAAAGCGTCCCGGCCCGCCGGCGCCGCCGCCGAGCGGTGAGGGACCCCCTGCCCTGCTCCTCCCCCCCGGCCCAGCTCAGGGTGCGGCGCGGGGAGCCCCTGCACCACTGGGGGCCCTGAGGCCGCCCCAGGTGCCGCCATGTTGCGTCAACTGAGGCCACAGTGGTAGACAAAGCCCAGCGCCTTTATTGACCCTGCCGCCGCCCACGCAGGAGCACAAATGTCCGCCGGCCCCGGCCCCACATCCCCAGAGCTCAGCGCTCGCCCGCCGCCCCCTCGGTGCCCACCATCCGCCGCGGCGGGGACAGCACTGACCCCTCGGCCTGTGCTGCTGGCCGGGTCAGACTCAGCCGGCTCCTCCCCGGTGCCTCGCCCTCCGGGGCTGCCACACAGCTGAGGGGCCGCAGCAGCCGCGGCCTCAGGGGGCCCTTCTGGAAGGGCAAGGCCTTGGGGGGGGCGGGCGTCAGCTCCTCCCCACCGTAGGTCTGGATCCTCCTGACCGGCACCTGGGCTGGCTGCTGCTCAGCGGCCATGGCCACTGCCGTGTCAAAGGACACGCTGCCGCCCTCCCGCCAGCCTGCTCTCCTCGCCCCCACCGCCACCCCACTGCCCCCAGGTTGCTGGGGAGACCCCTCCAGTGCCGTGGGACTGGGGAGTCGCCGGGGTGGTAGGGCAGCATCCCCCTCCATGGCCAGGGACGCACCATCGGCTGGGGGCATCCAGGGCTGCAGGGCCAGGGGGATCTTGGCAAACTGGGGCTTGGGGGGCACGACGGGGACTGACCGGGCCTGTTGCACCCTGACGGTGCGGGCAGCCAGGCGTACCGGGGCACTGCCGTCACGGCGCAGCACAGCCACGGGCTCAGGGCGCCCCAGCTCGCCGGTGGGCTCAGCCCGGCTCGGCTCTGGGGCTTCAGGGGGAGGGCTGCGCAGCTCTGGGGCCGAGGCAGAGAGCGAGGAAGAACTGGGGCTGCTCACAGGGGTAGCATCAGTGCCCTCCGCGCTGGCTGCAGAGGGCGGGAGAGCCTCAGGGGCAGACCCAGGGACCAGGGGCTCCACTGGCTCCTGGGGGGCCTCCTCTGGTGAGGCTGGAGGGGACCCTGGTGAAGGCTGGGCTTCGCCCTCCCCAGGCTCCTCTGGGGCAGGGGGATGGGAGCCAGCTCCATCCTCTTCAACTTCCCCATCCGATGTGTCGGGAACTGGCCCCGCTCCCGCATGGCCCCCGGCTCCTCCGGCCTCATCCCCCAGGCCAGCTTTGGTGCTGGAGACAGTTCTGCTGGGGCCAGAGCCACAGTCCGCAGCCCCCTCCCCTCCACCTCCCTCCCCTGCAGGCTGGCCGGTGCCTGGTGCAACCTCCTCTGCTGGTGCCCCAGCAGAGTCCCCAGGCTGCTCCCCCTCACCCAGAGCATCCTCCTCCATGGGGCACGGCCCTGCCAGCCCCGGTGTCAGAGACCTGTCCTGTGGCACAGTGCTGTCAGCGGCAGGTGGGGCCGGTGCCAGGGTCTCTGGGGCCGTACCCTCACCCGGCAGCTGGTCGAGGGGCTCCAGCGATGCCGCCAGCGGGCTGAGGTCGTCGTGGGCGCTGAGGAACATGTCTTCCGAGTCGGTGTCCCCAGTGTGGTCCTCGGCATCGGAGCCACTGGGAGCCATGAAGAACATCTCCTCGTCCATGCACTCCTCGATGGAGAGGTAGCTGGCGGGCTGCTCCATGGGGGGCTCCCCCGGCTGCAGACGGGGATGGGCAAGAGGGTGATGGCCACACTGGAGACCTCCCCAGCCCATCCCAGGCATGGAGCACTGCATGGCCCTGAGGCCCCACGCTGGGGCTGGAGGGGTGGATGCCACCCTGTCCTCTCCATCTCCACCTTCATCTCTCCATGCCCATCCCTGTCCCCTCCATCCCACCCCTGCCTTCTCCATCTCCATCCCTGTCCCCTCCATCCCCACCATGTCCCCTCCATGCCCATCCCTGCCCAGTCCCCTCCGTCCCCACCCTGACCAGGGACAGCAGAGGTGACCCTCTGCCTCCAGCCCTCCCACCCCAGACCCAAAGCATGGGGATGGTGATTTCAGCTTACGTTCATGAACCCGCTCTCTATCCCCTCCTCTATGGGCAGGAACCCCTCGCCGTCCCCAGGGCTGGTGTCTGGCAGCAGGGGCCATGCTGCTGGCTCCCCGTCCCCGCCGCCCTCCAGCCACGTCTCCTGGCTGTCCAGGAAGGCGAAGGAGTCCCGCAGCTCCAGGGAGAGCCGGGTCTCCTCCGTGTCCATCTTCCCCTCCCCTGTGGAGGGAGACGGCGGGGATTGAGCCTGTTGTGTCCCCCCGGCACCCTGGAGGTCCCGCGCTGGCTGGTCCCAGTGCACGCCTCTTACCAGTGTGGTGCTCAGGCACCTCGGGGTCCCCGGCAGAGCATTGGGCAGGCAGCGGGGGGCTGGCGGGTGGCGCTCTGCCCGCGGCCGCCTGGGCCAGCGCCGGGCACGGCAGCCCCCGTGTCAGGCGGGAGAGGTTGGAGGTGATGTGGAAGGGGACGGTGACAGAGAAGGGGCCAGAGATGTGGACCCCTGCGCACTTCTCGGCACGGCTGCGGCTGGCCTTGGGCGAGCGGCCAGGGGCCACCAGTGAGGCCCGGCCAGCTTTGGGGGTGGTGGGCTCTGACTTGGTGCTGTTTTCGCCCTCTGACTCAGGGCCCCGTGGCTCTTCCTTCCCCTTCAGCTTCTCCTCCAGGCTCTCATCCAGCTCGGGGCAGCTCTCCGGCGCTGGCAGTGAGTGGCAGGTGTCAAAGCTCTCCCGACGCTGCGGCGGCTGCTTTGCTGACCTCTTCTTGCTCAGCCGAGAGTCATCTGTGCCCAGCGGGGGGAAGAGTCAGGGCCTGGAGGTGTACCCTGTCCCCAGACCTCCCCACACCTGGGGACTCGGCTGGGTGGCACTGTGGGAGCTGCCGAGCTGGGGGACCAGGGCAATGCACAGCAGCTTGTCCATCCCCATCCTGTCCTCTCCATCCCTATGCCATCTTGTCCATCCCCATCCCTGTCCCCTCCATCCCCACCCTGTCCCAATGATCCTGCCTCAAGGACAGGGATGGTTCCCACAGGAGCGACAAGGTGTATCCCTCTTACCATCGCTGGCACAGGGGACGGAGCTGAGCGAGTCCATGCTCTTGGCTGGCCGCAAGGTTATTTTACCACACTTGTCATCTGGGGGGGGAAGGAGAAGGGGAATGGCAGTGGGGTTGGGTTTGGGGATACATCGTCCCCTGAGCAATGGGGTCCCGCCCTCTGGACCCCAGGGTGGGGACGACCAGGGCTCCCCACCTTTCTCCTCCACCTTCACCAGCTTGCGCTTGGCTTCATGGCTGGAGCGGCCCAGGTTGAAGATGGACCTCCACTTCTTGGCCTTGATGGAGCCCTTCCTCCTGCAGGACCCCAGGCGTCAGGGGTGGCGGGCACGCTTGGGCACACTTGTGTGTGCACAAGCACACATGGTGCCTTTGGACACATGCAAGAGCTCATGCACGCCTGCAAGCACGCGTGCAGAGCATGTGCCCATGCTTGTGCATGTAAGAACACGTGTGCATGGGATCCCACCTGCAGGGCACAGGTGTGCTCACGGTACTGCTCGGGCCAGGGGAGGTCCCTGGGGGGGTCCCTGGGGAGGGGAGGGGGTGGCGGCAGGTCCTACCTGTGGTCGCTGAGCTCGATGATGGTGTGGTAGGGCCGAATTGGGGGGGGGCCGTCACCCTGGCTGAGCGTGGCTGGCACGTGGTATGGTGGGGGCTGCCCGTCCCCTGTCCCCCCCCCACCCAGCAGCAGGGACCGCCGGAGGGACTCGCCGCCTGCAGGCCACCAAGACAGGGCGTCAGGGTCCCGCCGGGGACACCCTCACCATCCCCCCCAGGCCAGGACGTACCATGGAGAGGGGCGTCCCCGAAGAGCTGCTCGACGTGGGTGAGAATGAACTCCACAACGATGGATTGGACACGCACCTCCATGAATGCTGCTGTGCCGTTGAACCCCGTTGCCTCAATGTCCTTCGACCTGCCGTGGGGACACAGTGCGGGGGCTTTTAGGCTCCCCCGGGGAAGGGGGATGTTTGTCACCCCACATCCCCTTGACCCCATCCCCGGTACTCACCGCAGCAGGTTGGGTGCCCAGACAATGGCCAGGTTCCTGGCGTGCATGTTGGTCTGGCTGCTGTAGGATGCCATGTGCAGGAGGTGCCTCATCAGGAACTCCAGGGTCCTGCGGACACCGGGGCACGTTAGGGACAGCAATCCCCACAGGGGACACCGTGTTTGGGGTCCCCCCTACCTATAGTGGGGCACCGGCAGCTCCTTCAGCACCTCCTTGATCTTCACCAGGCGAGCTTCTTCCATCTGGATAGCCACTGCATCCTGCCGGGGGACAGGGATGGGGTGACAAGTGCCACCTCCTGGGGTTGGGGATGGGTGGCAGCACCGGGGAGGGGAACACTCACAGCAAATTTGTCGTAGAGCTGGTAGGTGAGGAGAGGGTTGGGGAGCTCGCGGAAGTACGCCTTGCAGAGGGAGCTGACGCAGTGGATGTCCTGCAGGTAGACATCCTTCTGCAGGTCAGGGCAGCGGTCACTGTCGAACTCCTGCCTGTGAGTGAGGCGGCTGGCTCGGCAGGGGGGACGGGGACAGGGACGGCATGGTCCCCCTCCGCGGCCCCGTTCAGCTGCTGTGCCGTGGAGGTTTTTCACTAGGGTGGGTCAGGATGTGTCCCTGGGGTGTCCCCGCACCCATGGAGGTGGGGAGGGTGTCTCGGCTGGTCCCTGCCAGCGGGGCTTAAGGCCACACGAGGACTGTTATGGTCCCCGAGGACCAGACACAGCCCCGATGGGCTGCAAAAGGGGCGGGTTTGTCAGCCGGGGTGGTAGGGCGGCATCCCCCTCCATGGCCAGGGACGCACCATCGGCTGGGGGCATGCAGGGCTGCAGGGCCAGGGGGATCTTAGCAAACTGCTGGTCCTTCTGCTGCATGGCCAGGATGCTGGGGACAGGGGGATGGATGGGATGGGGGGTGCTGTGGATGCCAGGCATATGGGGACACTGGGGATGTGGGGAACACTGGGATTATGGGGGTGTTGGGGACACAGGGGGCATTGGGGATGTTGAGGATGCTGGGGACGCTGGCAAGGCTGGGGTTCTTGGGGACACAGGAAAAGGGGAGAAAAGAAACACTTGAGGAAGAACCGAAAGAGCAAAAGAGTGAAAAAACCAAACCAAGTATGGAAAAAATGAAAGAGAAAAAGAAAGAAAGAAAGAATAAACAAGAAAATAGAGAAGAAAAAGGAAGAAAAGGAACAAGTGAAAGAAGGGCTGAAGCAGTGACGGGCAGGATGGAGGCGAGCGCCGCAGGAAGGCAGGATGGGGAAGGAAGGGGGTGTGGGGTGCATGAGGGAGCAGCAGGGCCGGATCCGGCCAACACAGCACTGGAGTCAGCTCCTATGCTGGCTGCGCCCCGTCCACTCCTGTCCTGTTACCCGCCTGGCCGGTCCCATCCCTGTCCTCTCCCCATCTCCGTCTGCCTGCTCCCATCCCATTCCCTCCCCATCTTCCTCCTGTGTGGTCCCAGCCCTGTCCTATCCCACTGCTCTCCCGTCTGGTCCTTTCTCATCCACCCCCCTCTCTGTCCCACCTCCATCCCATCTGGTCTCATGTCCACCCCATCCCTGTCTCCATCCCATCTGGTCCTGTATCATCCCATCCCCGTTTCCACGCTTGCTGGTCCCATCTCCATCCCCTCCCCACCTCCCTCCCTTCCGGTCCCAGTCCTGTCTTCTTCCAGTCTCCACCTCCATCCTGTCTGCTCCCATCTCCATCCCATCCCCATCTTCCACCTGTCTCCCTCCTGTTTGATCCTGTCTGGTTTCCAGCTCCATCCCAGCTCCCTCTGCTTCTGATCTTCATCCAACCTGCTCCTGTCTCCATCTCCATCATCTCCATCTCCATCCCTTCTCCACCATCTCCATCCTGTCTCCATCCCAACTGCTCCATCTCCATCCAACGCGCTCCTGTCTCCATCTCCATCCCACCTCCATCATCTCCATCTCCATCCCACCTCCATCATCTCCATCCCCATCCCGTCTCCATCCCTCCTGCCCCACCCTGCTTACCGCAGCCGCTGGATGTTGGAGGAGACGCCCGAGAGGCGGTAGATGCCATCTACCACCCCGTGCTGCTCCACGAACTCAGTGCAGCTCCTCAGCACCTGGGGCACTGCGGGATGGGCACCCCGAGTCTGCTGTCACCCACCTCCCCTGGGTCCGCTATTGCCCACCTCCCCCTGGCTCCAGACCTGCTCCCTGCCAAGAGCCGGGGGTGACAGGGGGGACTGGGGCCACCCACCCCCTGGGGTACCCAGTGACAGTGTTCCCACAGGGCAGCCAGTCCCGTCACTGGCCACATTCAGGTGCTGGGGGCAGCGGAGCCCCCAGCAGACTGGGGCCACCCATCCCCGTCCCCTTGGGGCCGCAGTGGGACACTGAGATTGGAGCTGTGCCAAGGCACCAGGACCCCCCCAAATCTCGGAGAGGCTTTGCCAGGAGGCACCCCAGCTGTGACACTTGCTCAACTGCTGGTGATGCAACCGCGTGGCGTGAGTCACCCCCCGTCCCCTCCCCGTGGCGCTGCCGGGCACCCTCCCAGCTTCCGGCAGCTGCGGGGGCGACCCCTAAGGAGGGGGGCTCAGCAGGACCCCGTGGGTGGGGGGACGCGGGTGGTGGCGGCACTCGCCAGCGGGCGCTTACCGTCCTGCCCCGACTGCTGGAGATGCTCCAGGAGGTCGCAGCCAAAAACCCGCTCCTTGGTGCCGCCCTTGCGCCTCGCCTTCTGCCGGGCCTTCAGGGCCAGCGACATGGAGGCGGCGCAGACCCCCCGGCAGTGGGGTCAGATCCTGCCCATGGCCCGAGCGGGGCGCGGGTGCCCCAGAGCCCCGGCACGGCGGCAGCGACGAGGGCCGGGGCAGGCGGGCGGCGAGCGGAAGCGGCCCCCGGGGAGGAAGTGCGGTGGCCCCGGGGCCCTGACGCAGCCTCGAGGGCCCGGGGCGTCCCGTTGGCGGCAGCAGGAAGGCGGCGGCCGCCTTCGAGGCCGCTTCCTGCTCCTCGGCGCGTCGAAACCGCAGGGCAGGGCGCAGGCGGCACGCTTGCGCACGCTGGTGCGCTCTTCTGCGCGCTTCCGCACGTTTGTGCGTGCTTGTGCACGCTCATGCTTGCTTGCGTGAGCTTGTGATGGCTTGCGCGTGCTCGTGCATGCTTGCATGAGCTTGGGCATGCTTGCGCGTGCTCAGGCATGCTTGCGTGAGCTTGGGCGTTGCGTGCCCTCGTGCACGCTTGCATGAGGTTGCGCCCACTTCAGCATGCTTGTGCATTCTTTCACGTGCATGCATGCACTTGCACGCAGCTCACCTGCGCGCCCAGCGGCACACGGGTGCACAGGTGGAGCACCCAGGTGTGGCCATCCTTGCACAGGAGCAGTGTCCCAAAAGTGCCAGGCCCCCCGCCATGTACCCGCGTCCCTCCCCTGGCTGAGACCAGAAGCACTCGACACAGGGTCCCAGGGTCCCGCGCGGGGGTTTATTTACAAGCGCGGCCGGGCAGCAGCAGGGGGGCAGTGGGGCCCCCATCCTATACAGGTATGTACACGCAGGGCACGCTGTCCCCAGGGACCCCCGCCACCAGCCCCGCGCCTGGGGGGGGCCCGGCCCCGGGGGGGTCCCCTCAGCAGTCTGGGGGGAGACGATGGGGTTTTGGGGGGTTTGGGAGGGCCGGGATGGGGGAGGGGGCAGCCGGGATGGGGGAGGGGACACAAGCGTCCCAAGTGCCACCGGCAAACCGCGTCCCGAGCGGGGACGGCCGCGTGTCCCCAGCGCCACGCAGGAAGGAGCTGACCCAGAGTCCAAAGGGATATTGGGGGGGTGGGGTGGGGGCCCGATCCCCGCCGGGGGTTCCTGCCCCTGTCCTGTCCTTGGGGTGTCCCCACGCCCGTGGGTGCCTGGCGGCTCTGACGCCCATGGGTCCTGGATGCTGTCACTTCCTCTCTGGCCAGCCACCGGTGAATGTCCCCAGCCTTGTGCCAGCAGCAAGGTGACACTTGGGGACCAGCGCCCATCCAGGGGCACGGTGTGTGTCCCTGACCCCATGCCAGCAGTGAGGTGACACATGGGGACCGGAGCCCTGTTCGGGGGTACGGTGCATGTCCCTGACCCCGTGCCAGCAGCAGGGTGACACCTGGGGACCGGAGCCAGCCCGGTGGGCAGGCAGAGCCGGGGGAGCCATAGGGGGGACGGGGGTCCCTTGGGTGTCCCCCCCGGCCCTGCCCAGCTCACACCAGGTGCCCACGGCCATTGATGTAGATGCCGTTGGTGGTGGGCTTGGCCTGCAGCATCCCGTTTTCCTGCACGAAGTGGGTCATGGCCTGCTTGATGGGGTCGTCCCCACCACTGCCACCATCCTCCTCCTCCTCCTTTGGCTCCTTCCCCGGCGGGGCGGGCAGCAGCGGCGCTGCCGGCACCTCTGTCTGTGTCTCGATCTCCCGCACCGTTGAGAGCGTCGAGTAGCTGCGACCTTCGGGCTCTTCACTCTGCGGGGATGAGGGACAGGGCAGGGTTCACCGCTGATGAATGAACACTCCCGGGGACCCAGCCTCTGCCACGGGGACCCCTACAGGGACAGGGTGCTGCCGTAGGGCACGAGGAGGTGCACAAGGCTCAGTACACGGGCGTGCAAAGGTGTGTGCATGTGGGAGGGCTTTGCACACCCAGGAGAAGGACTGCACAAGTTGGGATGGGGCTGCACGTGCAAAGTGGGATTTGCGCACGTGCAAGAGGGGGTTGCACACGCAGAAGGGGTTCGAACACCTTGAGGGGCATTTGCACCCATGAAAGGGGGTGCACATGTGGAGGGGGGGTGTACATGTGCAAGGGGGGGGCAGCACCCGTGGAAGGGGTTTGAACACCCTGAGGGGGAGGTTGCACCCATGGAAGAGGGTTGCACACCCAGAAGATGGGGGTTGCACCTGCACAGAAGCATGCCAGAGCTGGAGGACACGCTCTGACAGCCACAGCCCTGGGCTGGGTGCAGGTGTGGGGCTGAGCCAGGTCCCCTGCCCCACTGTGCCCCCCCGCGCCCCCTGCCCTGCCGCAACTCTCACCATGGCGGAGCAAATGCTGGTGCCGCGCAGGCTGTCCCCACGCAGGCTGTCCCCACGCAGGCTGCCCTGCCGGCTCTCTGCACGCAGCTGCAGCGTCTCCTCCAGCTGAAACAGCCCCATGAGACCCAGCACCCCGCAGCCCAGCTCCTGAGCACCCCATGGCCCTGCCAGCATCCTGGGCATCCCCACCCAGCATCCTCTGCCACCACGGCCTGGCTCCTCCTGGGCACCCCGATACCCACCTCCTCCCAAGCACCCCACTGCCCAGCCCCATGGGCACCCTGCTTCCTGGTCCTCCTTCAACACCCCCATACCCAGCACCCCAGGCACCTCGATACCCATCACCATGGGTACCCCAACACCCATCACTTTGGGCATCCCAGCATCCATGACCCCAGTCACCCCAACACCCATCACCCAGGGTACTCCAAGACCCGCTTCCTCGGGCACCCCACCACCCAACACTCATAGCACCCCAATACCCATCACCCAGACTACCCCAAGTCCTACTGTCTTGGGCATCCCACCACCTATCACCCCAGGCACCCCAGCACCCCGGGCACCCCAAGACCCCCTCCCTTGGGCACCCCACCACCCAGGCCCCCTGCTACCTGTGTGCGCGTGTCGGTGCTGTGGCTGGAGTGCAGGCGGCGGATGGAGTTCTCCCGGGTGAGTGTCAGCTCCTCCTCGCTGGGGGCATGGAGGGAGGTGCTCAGCATGGGGTCCCCATGTCTCCCACTGCCCCCCCCCACCCCTGCCACCCCCCCCCCCCGACTCTTACTACTTCTCGGAGATACGCTTGGTCTTGCGCTTGTGATAGAGGGTCATGACGACGACGACAACGACAAGGACGCAGAGCAGGACGGCGGCGATGACGCCCACCACCACCACCGAAGCCGAGACCAGGTCCACCTTGCGCACCTCATTGTCTGTGGGGACACCCATGGGGTGGGCAGGCAGGGTGAGGGGGGATGAGATGATTGATGGGGGGGTCGATAGATGGATGGGTGGATGGACAGATGAGTACATAGATGAGTGGGTGGATGGATTCATGAATACATACATGGATGAATGGATGGATGGATGCATACATCCATGGACAGATGGGTGGATGAGTCCATGGAAGGATGGATGAGTGTATCCATGGATGGATGGGCTGATGGACGGATGGACAGACAGGTGAGTCCATGGGTGGGTGGGTGGATGCATGAATACATGGATGGATGGACAGATGAGTACATCCATTTGTTTGGACTCGATGATCTTAAAGATCTTTTCCAACCTAAATGATTCTATGATCCATGGACAGATGGATGGATGAGCCCATGGGTGGACGGATGGGTCCATGGATGAGTGCATGGATGGATGGGTAGGTGGACGAGGGGGTGGTTAGGTGAACAACAGGTAGAGATATGGATGGGTGGATGGAGAGAAGTGGCAGGAGGATGGATGATGGAAGGATGGATGGACAGATGGATGAGTAGACAGATGAATAGCTAGACTGATGGAAAAGTAAATGGATGAGTGGACAGATGGGTGGATGAGTAGACAGATGAGTAGACAGGTGGGTGGATGAGTAGACAGATGAGTAGACAGACAGGAGGATGAAGGGAGAGATGAGTGTACGGATGGATGAACAAATGGATAGTGAGAAGTGAAAGGGGGATGGATGGATGGACAAAGGGGTGGATGGAGGAAGAAACAGAAGGAGAGGTGGTTGGGTAGAGTGAAGTGGTGGGCAGTGGATTGATGGACAGACAAATGGAAGGACAGGTGGATGGACAGACATAGGAATAGTCGGGGGCAGGGAGGGATGACAGATGGACAGATGGGTAGACAGGCGAGTGCCTGGGAGGGGACAGACGGGTGGCAGGAAGGGCGAGCAGATGGAGAAAAGCCCAGGGAGGGACAGATGGACAGGCACAAGCAGTGTGGAACGGTGCTGCCCCCCCCAGCCAGGCTCCCACCAACCACCCAGGACCCCCACCCCAACACCCACCCACCACAGCACCCTCAGGGGGTACATGGGTGCCCCACGCCCCACGCAGCGCCCACCTGCCACCCTGCCCTTGATGCTGACGTTGGCCCGTGCCTCCTTGGCGGCCACGCGGTTGGAGACGCGGCAGATGTAGTCCCCGGCGTCGGCGGCGGCGAGGGGCCGCTGGAAGACGAGGGTGTCCCCCTTCACCCGCACGCCGGCGGGCAGCGGGGCGTTCAGCCTGCGGCGTGGCAGCACCATCAGCCCCCGGCGTGCCTGGGCGGGTGCGGGCGGGCGGCGG